CGGGGCCAGTCGGGCCTCGGCGCCGGCCAGCCACGCGCGCAGGTCCTTCATGTGCTTGTCCAGCCGCCGCAGCGTCGCCAGCGTCTCCTTCAGCTTCCCGACCCTCCGAAACACAGAAGCGCACATCCGTCACTTTAAGAGCTCCGTTTGTCTCACCGTGGAGAAATTCCCAATAGCAAGACGACAAAGAGCGAGTCCCCGACACCGTTGCGGAGAAGTTGCAAGCGGGATTAGACGACGAAAAGATTTGAACCATCTCGCCGATCGATCGCTTTTGGAGCGATCGATTCCAGATGGACAAAGTATCCGAGCGCCGCCGACCTGCGTGACAAAAGTCGAAGCTTCCGTCTGCACCTTTGCACATCCCCACTTTCCCTTCGTAGCAAGCGTGACAAGCACACGACCAGGTGCTGAAGGAAAACCTCCCGACTACACACACACACACACACACACACGCACGCAGTGGCCCCCGGAGGCACAAAAGCTTCAAACAATGCAGCGGCTGTCGGGCGGCCGGCGGCGGCCTTTGTTTGCACTTTTCTTTTCTTTGGGCGACAAAAGGGAAGCGAGCCTCCGACAGTCGAACTCATTTGATCAGTGCGCAAAAAAAAGCACCTCACCCCAAGAACAGACTGCAGTGACTCCATCGCCACCAATTTGGGTTGGCGCATTTCCTGCACGGCCCACATGAAATCACGACGGGTTTTCATGAAGAGAGGAGAGGAGAGGTCCATTTCAAAAGTGGATTCATCTGACAAAAACCGACGTGCCGACACGGCGACCACGTTAGCGTGGGCGACGTCCGCATCAACGACGCGCGCGGACATTGAAATCAAGTCGTAGCTTCCTCATTTCTCAACCAATTTTGGTGAAGGTCACCAACATTTTTTTTAAAAATGTCCCCATAAAGATTTGAAGTGGTTCCAAGGTGACGAGTCCCGCTTCCCTTGTCATCATCGGACGACGGACAATTGGGGTCATCTTTGTTCTTTTGCTTCCCTTGCCCCGCACACATGCGCGGAACGCGCTGACGACGGCGCCCCTCCTCGCTCGGCCTCGCCGCAGGCGCGCGGCTCAAAATCTCTTCCTGGCTTCGGGCTGAAACCTCCAATTTGGAGATTTTCACTCCCTTTTTTTTTCCCAGCAAAAACTCCGATGGGTCAGTCGCCCCGCACGGGTCGGCAACACGTTGAAAACGCCTCGCTGTCTTGGACGATGACGCAACGGCGGTACCCCGTCGAAGGGGACGTCTTCTTTTTTTTTTTCTTCTTTTCTGAAAACGGTCGCCTTTGGAGATTCCGCCGTGAAGACTCGGAGACGGAAGAACAACGAGGTCGGGGCGCACCTACCTGGCCTCGATGCGCCGGAACAGGTGCCGCCATCGGTCGTCGACGCGGCAGACGGCGTCGCCGACGTGGCTCTCTTCGGTCTCGTCGTCGGCTCGGATGAGTTGCTCTCCCAGCTGCTTCAGGGGACTTTTGTTCTCGCCGAACAGGTTCATCTCCTCCACGCAGTCCTGAACGGCCCCGCGCAAAGCGTTAGCATCAAGATGGCTAAGCCGTTCGCTGAGCGGATCGCGGTCGAGAGATGAACTTCTTTTTGGCCCCGGCCGAAGGAAAATGGTGCGCCGTGAAACGGTCGCGCTCAACAAGCGAAGGGGGCGCAGGACAAAACCCGGGAGGATGCCCGCAGCACGCGTCCGTCTCAACACGGCCGAGCCCACCAACAGACGGCGCTCTCACCTTCTTGAGCTTCTCCACCATCTCTTCGATGTTGAGCTGGGACGCGTCGGCCATCTTGTTCTCCACGCGCGCCAGCCAATCGCAGAGCTCGGCGTTTTTCTCCTTGAAAATCATCCAGGCGTTGAGCCGGTCGCCGATCTCCTGCTTGCGAAGGGACACCTGAAAGCGACCCCCCCCC